AATACTGAATGGCTTGAGAACTTTGCTTGAACGTATGCTTATGCTGCTTCTCATACTGGCATTCTGGGGCCCCTGTCCTTCTAAACGCCTTAGGCACTTGCAGCAGGCTCGGGAGCCACCATCTCTCTGGGCGATTTCTTGATGCCGAAGAAGCGCTCAACGCTGGAGACAACCCCGGACGACTTCGTCTCCTTTCATTGTCTTCTAACCGCTTGAAATCCATTTTTGCTATGACCAACTCCAACCATGCCATCAACATCATCATCATCATCATTGTCATCATCGTCATCATCGACACCGTCATGATGACACTGTTTGCTATCTCAGCTCTTGCGCCACTATTCCTCCGAACCAGCATGGAAGCCCCATCAAAAAGAGCTGTATGACATGCATTTTCCCTTGGCGCAGAGTCCACAAGGCACCACACGGAGATTTCGTCAAAACAAGGCCCTAACCCTAAGCCCTCAGCCCCGAATGAGCTACTGTCCATACTACCCAGAAAAATAATGGGCATAAGCCTTATTAAGGAGCATATTAAGGAGTATACTAAACTACCAACGAGACCGCTACTGCCAAACATATACACTAGCTCACAGTATTCGGAGAGCCTCGGGCCAGAAACCCTCAATCCAAAACACCCCCTCTGCCCGTACACCTTTGACGCCTCTGTAAATGCACCGAGAAGGGGCCCAGAAAGTCGTGGAACATCTGCCTCGGGCCTAAACGTAAACCGGAAACCCATGAACCCCGGACACATCCCCCCCAATCTGAGAAATGCGATCGTTAGACAAGATCCTGAATATTCCTGCATTACACGCAATATATTATGCTCCCATAATTCCGAGGCTTTGGGTATATGGGGTCAAGCAGGATTTCGCCCATCAACAGTCTGAGTAATGTGTGTGGTGGTTGAGGCAAGCAAGACAAGGCACATCCTGTAAGAGACGCCACATCCGAAAAGCAAATATTGTTGTTGCTGTATATTTGGGAATATAGTATCCCTACTTGACACACTACCCACCAGCAGTGTGAATCCAAGTGACTCTCCTTTACAGTAAAAGTTGCCACAAGAGGTACTATCAGTTGTAGTCGGACTTTACTACAGCCCCTCTAAGGACAGTGACTCCCAGGGGGCATGGCTGAAATCCTTACATAATCCATGCTAGGATCCCTATAACCCTAAACCCTAAACCTTAAACCCTGAACCTTAAACCCTAAACCCTAAGCCCTTCATAATCCCCTTGCGCTTTTTTCATTTGGCAGATCTCACCTCAAACCCTTAAGCTTCCCAGACCCCCTCAAACATCTAAAGCAGTGAGACCCATTTCAATGTTGGAGGAACTATGGGATTCATGGAAGGTTCCATTTTTGGATCCTTTGGTCTAACACAATTACAGGAGGGGAGTTGCCATCTGGGGACTTTAGCTGAGCCCTATACACCCCTAATGTACCCCTTATGTAAGCCCCCGCCATTGGAAACTCCCCCTCGAACCCTAAACCCTGAACCCTAAAACCCTAAACCCTTACTTGGGGGGTTCTTGGTTTGACCAAGCCGACCTTGGACTCCTCAACACCCTCGCTCTCGTAGAACTTGGCATAGAGCCTTGGCTGACTGAGTCGAATACAGGGGTTCAAGGGATTAAGGGTTTCTGTTTAGGGTTTAAGGGTTTAGGGTTGGCAGACTGAATCTAACGAAGGGGCCTACATTGGGACGCCTTCCATGGGTTTGAGAGGTTTGGGTTTAAAAGTTTAGGGGTTTAAGGTTCGTGCGCGGGGTTAGGGTTCAAGGGTTTAGGGTTGCCCGGGCCCTAAGGGACCTCAAGGGATTATGTGGCTCTTTAGAAGGGTTTAGGGTTAAGGGTTTAGGGGATTGTTTGAAGGGTATGTTGAACAAGTCCCACCTCTGCATTAAGATGTGCAAAGCATAGGAGCCACAGTGCACAAGAAGTCTTATACGTAGCGAGAGTCCTGGCTGGCACATGAAGGAGCAGTAACCAAGTGCCCTCTTACTCCTCAAGAAGCTGTACATTCATCTTTAACACAGAAGAACTTACCATTGTTTTCAAGGAATGAAGGAGTGGACCTGGAAGAAGTCCCATCAAGCCACAGTAATGTGGCAATAATTTCTTTGCAATTTCCTCATTGCCTGCGAATTATGAGTTAACCATAAAGTAACAGAGCCGAAGAAACATCACCACTTGGCCTTATCCGGAACCTTGGGAAGTACTTGGAGGATCAGGGGATGTTAGGTTCAGGGTTTGGGGTCTAGGGGGGTTCCTAGGTATCTACCTTTCTGGGGAAACCCCTCCCTAAGGGTCCCTTCATTGGCGGGCTGGTGGCTGCTTGAAGTCATTGATGTTCTCACGGCCAGTCGTCTGGAGCCTGGTGCAAAACAAAACCGTACGGTCGGCGCCGAGACGGCGCCTAAATAATTGCCAATATCATCGGCAGTATATATGAGGCCCCTTAGACCATCATTATACGAGGAATCTAGAAGCATAATGCTGGTAATCCTTTTGTCTCCTGCTATAAGCCCCCGAAAGGCCCGAAACCCTAAGACCTGAAAGATGGAATGTTCTCCAAACCCAAGCCCAGCCCTCGAACCTCAAAGCCTCAACCCGCAAACGACAAACCTCAAGCCCTAAGAGCACATTGAACCCTAACCTCCAAAGCAAAAGCTTCAAATATCCCAGCATTCCCGTGACCTTCCCAAAGTCATGATACGGGCAGACAGTGGTCTGGATGCTGCAACGGGTTCGCAGCCCTCTTGTCCCAGGGAGTCTTGCTGGCACTTAGGGGGAGCGCGAGAGTTCACATAGGCACTATTCTAGGGGCCCTAAAGCCAAAACCCTCATTCAAGAAATCCATTCCCTTCGTCTCCCCGAAGCACCAGTAAGTAACTATTCAGCCCATTGAAACCCCAATATCCTCGCGAAGAGTTTCTTGACATGCTCCCTTTGGGCCCCCATGTCAGAAGCCAAAACCATTGCCATGCCAAGAATTCCAATAAGCTAGCCAGAAAGTGCATGGACTGTCGCATGGACCCGTAGTCAGCCTCCGAGAATACTATAATTAAGAGGATGACTATCACCAGAACCCCTTCGCCCCAAATCTGAGACGCAGCATGCGCAATTTTTCTCCCCAAGTTTTGCAGCAACTCTCCTTCCCACATACTCCCTAGTGAGAGGTGCATGGGATACTATGGTGATGAGTGCCGCCAACGCAGTGATGATTATGTTCCCCTGATTCCATGACTCTGGAGCCGCCAACCCTAACCATTCAACTTGAAAGTAAAACCCTCAACCGAACCCAAATCCCCCAAACCCAGGATAAATAGAAATCGTATAGGGAATCCAATGCAAAAACACGCTAAGAATGGTCAAAAGTCGGTCAAAATCCGCCCTAACAATTTGGACATGAACCGTATAAAGTCTAGAAAGGCCCATAGACGCAAACTTGCTGGTTCTAAGTAGGGAATAGGGGAATATATTCGCTATATAATCCCCATACATTATACTCCCTTATCCGACCAAGAGCCAGTAAACACAGCCTAAACCCTAGAGACCCTAAACCCTGAACTCTAAGCCCTAAAACCTAAGCCCTAAACCCGAACCCTGTTGGGTGCCTACTCGGGGGAGAGCCAGTGATCCAGAGATAGAGAGCCTCAGGCCAGCTCAAGTTGAGAGCTCGCCTGGGCTTCTCAGAAACAACATGTTAGGGTTGAGGATTTCGGATTGAGGGGTTAGGGTTCAAAGTTCAGGTTTAGGGGTGGATGGAGGACATCTTGCTCCACTATCCCAACAAATACAATTTTGGGGTATGCGAGGTATGTTAGGTGGTGCAAGTCTTCCTCCATTCACAGTTATTTGCGTAAATACCACGGATTTAGGGTCTGTGGATTTAGAATTTAAGGGTTTGAGACCCAGGGTTGAGGATTTACCATTTGGCATTCTAAGCTCCAAGTTTCACTAAACCCTAAGTCCCATAAATTTCCTACATGGGCCGTATAGGACCCTCATTTGGGGTTTGGGAATAAGCAAAGTCTCTGCATCAAAGCCTCAGTAAAGAACAAAGCCCTGAGGTCTCTCATACAATGCCTATAGTGGGATTGCAAGCTCACAATGTGCCTATGTGTTCATGTCTTGACATGTGCCAGAGAAGTCTTCGGGCATTCTATTTGGAGGGTAAAGGTCTTGGGCTGAAAGGGTTGTTCTTATACGTACTACGTTCTCGTGACCCTCCCCGTGGCCCTGGCTTCCTCGTAAGGGTCTACCTCATAGCTAACCGAAACCCTAAACTCCAAATCATCAACCTTGCCTGAACCCTGCATCCACTCTGGGACAATGACACGGGGAGAGTACCTCATAGAATCCGAAACACATACCCTAGCTACATGTGCAGATATGTACACACATCTATATCCAACACCCCCTCCCCCCCCCCCTCCTTCCCCCCCAAAAAAAAGACCTTGTGTATCCTTGTGTTCCGCTTACTTAGTCCGCACTTGCCTCCTCCCCTGAAGAGAACCACAACCCCAAACCTCAAACCCTAGACCTTAGGAGGACCC